AATATGCAGCGAAGAGAAGAAAGAGGCAACCGGAGAAAATCTTTATATTGATGCCGTCCATATGAAAGAGAATGGGACTGTGTTACCAAAGAGGAGTTGCAGTATAATCCAGTTTACTGTCAAATCCTCCAAAAGATGTTCAGACCTGCAGGTTTGACTTCAGAGCTGGGTTTTTGTTCACTCTCAGCGTGACGTGTGAGTGGTAATCTTTGGCTGCTATCAGAGTATGGAGAGGAGCTCAATAATCTGTTGATGTGGCAGAATCTGAATGATGCAGCGTGCCTCCAATGAGGATAAGCCCAAATTCTGTACTTAAAGGTGGGGTAGGTAAGTTTGAGAAACCAAAAATCCATAAATCTTTTTTAACCGGCCCGGCTAAAATAACTGGATGGCCTACCTGCCTGTCAGCCTTCCATCTGTGCACAAACTTATCTCGTGCCCTCATTGGTCATGTGCGCATTCATGTGTGTTGGAGGAGGGGCTCTGTAGTGGCAGATTTGTTCCAGTTGTGTATTTTCAAATTCTAGCGCACTCGAGCTGGTTTCTCTTAAGTGGAATTTATGCTACTTAGATATTACCATTTGAAAGGAAAGTACCATACTTTTTATCACACTACATTTATATTACAGCTGTAGTTCCTAGTTTCTTTTAAGATTAAACCAGTTGTTGTCCATATTGTTAGCTTGTTAGTGTGTAGCTGAGGCCCCTTGTGTTTCTATTAGTTGTTGAAATTCAACCAAAGAGACATCTAATCCTATAAAATGGTTTCAGTAAATAACAGTTTGAGCTTCAAAGAGATAAGATACTTGAATATTTCATACAAAAAAAACAAAGATAAAAAATAAGTATATTAATGTGGAATTATTCATTAAATGAGTGGATGGCAAATCAAATAGTTTCAAGTGTCTCAAATCTAATATAAGAATAACAACCTTTTATGTGTTGTATGGCCTTGTTCCAGCTGCTAAATTCATAATCCTTCTTGTTAATTTAGGCACTGGCAATATGCAAATAACCTAAAGTGCTCCCAGGAAACACATTTATTTGTGGATTTCCTTGGACCATAATGATGAGACAAACCTTTCAGCTCTCAGAAGAATCGCTTGCACAGCAGAAGTTTTCTAAAAAAAGAAACCTTAATGTCAATGGGTTCAGGGTTTTTTGGATGAGGTTCAAGTTGAGTGTTAGTGGAAAAAGGAGTGAAGTGAAACGTCTTTCCACTTTATTACAGGACCAAAATAGTAAGAGTGGGCTGGATAAAGTGTATTTTGCTATTTATTTTCATGTAGACTTCTCCTGCATTATGCAAAGCCAGTATTTAAAACATATTTTATATCGTGGGCAATGCAGATATTCTGTGATGGTAACCAGAAATAAGAGAGCAATTATTTTCTCTTTTAAAAATCTTCCTCCACACACTGTTGGTTTCGCAGTTCATTCAGATCTCTCGAGTCTGTCTGCTGAAATGCTGCTCTCCCCAGGAGATGCAACCCCCTCTGGAGCCCTAACAGGCAATTCAGCAGCAGACACTATTTCAATTTTCCATGCCTGTAAAGTGCTCCTATTTGCTTTGTGAATCAACTAGACCGGAGTGGCTACATGTGTTTTTTGTCACCGTTACATTTGCATCACTATGACGTATATGTGCTCATGTGTTCCCTGAGTGCATTGCTTTGAGGGTCTATGCACATCAAAGCCTTTCGTCACTCAAATGTATTTCACTTCTTGTTCCTTCACTGCGCAGAATGATGTATGTGCAGAGTTTGACACAACAATATTAACATTCAGATATAAGTTGAATCATGACATGAGAAGCTGACTCTACTTAAATTACACTGTGATTAATAGCTGTCTGATTGATATAAAATTGGCTGCAAAGAGTTGATAATAAGAGCTCCATCTGTGTTGATGTCCTAATATCTTATTATCTTATTGGTTGGATTTAATAACTTGGACTCAAGTCTTGCTCTTGGCAGTTACTTGGCACTGATCCAGTCGTCACCACAGAGAGAAGAGGAAGATCACAGAGAGGGGTCGATCAATGCAGGATAGAAAGACATGATGTGTATTGTTGAAGCAGATTTACAATATAGTTTTTAATAGCATCAGACAAAGAAAAATGGTCTTCCCTTAACAGCTTCTCCAGGAAAAGATCTGCAGCAGCATCAGATGTTTTCTGTTTGTGTTTTCTGCCATTAGTCACGAACAGTGTGCCTCCTCGGCTGCCTGCAAACCATAAACACTGATGATGGAAAGCTTCTCACTTTAAGACTCGCTTTCAATTTCAGCGCTTAAGAATGAGATTAATCATTTTAAAGCACATTACACTTATCTCAAGCCCCCCGTGGATAAAGTTAAAGGAATAGTTGCTTTCTGTCGAGATTTAGACACAAGAAGATTGATACTCTCATGTCCGTCCATGGATTATAGACCTCGAGTCACAAAATGGCTGGATTAGTTTTGCTCAGAATACAAACTAGAAATAAAAAGAAACTATCATTGGTTATTCAAAGGCAACAAAACCCACCTATACCATCTTTGAAGCTAACATGCTATATCTTTATATCAGGGTTATAAGACTATTTCCTGGCAGTGACTTCCTGAGATCAAAGCTGCTCCTAGTCTGCTATACTAAACTAAACAACGTTATTTAAGCTTCATAAAAAGTATGCAAACATGAGAATCTTTTTGTCAAGAACTTCCTAAAAAAATATAGAAATACACTTTTAAATGGCGCCAGAAAGATTTTAGTAGCAATTTGCGGGACACTGCACTGACTTAATCCTTAATCTCAACTCTTATTTTACCAGCTTTGTTTAGTGGTGCCACTCCAAACAAAACAACCAGCCTTTTCTGCACCTTAGGAGAAATGGTGCAAGTGCAGATCCATAAAATATGCAAAGGGTGAAGTCTTAAGCCTACCCTCAATTTTCTGCCACCATGGGACCAGAAATATTTGGGTTAAAAAGAGAAAAAAGGAAGTGTACAGGGTGACCAAATACTTTACTTCATCAACCATTACAGCTGACCCAGATTCTCATATCACAGTGTTTCCATGTTTAAACTTGCATTTCCCATTGTATCATACTTTACAGGTTTGCATATATTTATTTTAATACATGCTGTATATCTTGGGTTACAAATGCAATAATAAAATACTTTATTCAGGGTTTTTCCCATGAGTATTGTAGATTGACTTCCTTACCTGTCATGATGAAAAGGTTTGATGGCGTCTTCATATCTTGGTCTTTGACCTAAAGCATTTGACGAGAAAGACTGTGATGATCAACGTAGCTGAGAAATAAAATTATTACATCACTGAGGAAACCCCAGGGGTCTACACAGTAGACAGCATTTTCTTTACAAGACAATACAAGCAATATAATCATTGAATTATTGAAAAGCGAAAATAAATAAGGCTCCCCCTTCACCACCTCAGACAGCTTTAGATATTCAGAGTCTCACTGGGGCAGACAAAGACCTTCCACTTAAGAGGGGCATCAAGAACTGGTCCAGGAAACACTCTTTTTAAATTGTTGCTTACTTGTAGCATATACATATATTTTTTGAAGACAGGGCTGAGTGTTCGTCTTTTGCTTTTGGAGTGTAGAATGTTTTACTTTTTCTTATATCTGACCCATCTGTATAATTTGTATATATTATTATTTTGTACATACTACAATTAATTTGCCGTATGTTTATTCTTTTTCAATAGAAATATAATTGCCCAGGTACAACTATATCACTTTCCTTTTTTGCATTTCCATCCTTTTCAGGAACTGTTTAGAAAATAGCCCGGCTAGCTTGTGCCACTTTCAATAGGCAGATCTCTGCACCGGAACCAAGATAATGACACTTGTTTCTCTTCACATAATGGGTGGGTGTTTGCTTGAGGTTTGACCTAAAAAGGACAGATGACATGGTAGTAAAGACACAAAGAAGAACAAAGGAAAAGAGACACAAGTAGGCAAAACTCTATAGAATAAAATGGAAATCTCAAATGGTGGGAGAGACATCTGAGAGACTCAGAGAGAAACTCTCTTCCTATACTCTCTAACCAGAGAGACTGGGCAGACAATGCAATGATTCTTATTGTCAGCTTCAGCATATCTTGACATACTTGATACTGCTGGATAATACATTAAATAGAAAGCCTGTGGAGAGTTTTCTGAATATTGAGAAGTGCACAGTTAGTGTATGTATGTGCCAAGGTATGCAAGCACATTTAGATGTATAACAGGGGACCTTGAATGGGTCAAAGGTGGCCCTGAAAGCACAACACATTATTTAATGAGAACACATGTAAATAAACAAACACAACTAGATACAGAAATGTAGCACAGATGACAACAAACACTGTTTCCAGGGAAACCTGAAAAAGTGATGATCAGGCTTGTTGTCCCACCTACAAAACGTACAATTTAGCGCATATTGCAAGGATGGCTGACATCAATACCAAAAAAAATACAACAGCTGCAGTACCCGTTAAAAAACAGATTTGGAAAACAGACATGTCAAATGCAGTATGCACACAATACCAGGGAATTATATTGCATCCAGGCACATTTTGCAGTAGTTCTATGAAAGCTGCAGTAGCTTGAAGCATGAGAGCACAGACAGATTATGCTGTGACCGATTTTTGAGAGAAATTCAAGTCGCAATGTTATTACCATGTATTATTTCCCGATTCAAGCAGTGCATGCAACAGGCCTACTTTGTTTGGGCAGCTAGTTGGCCTTTACTAAAAGTTGAGAAAGATATGTTGGGCAATTTGGAACACAGCCGGTGAGAAAAAGGTGTATTTCCCTAAATGTTGAACAAAAAAAATGCTATTTCTTAAAAACGAAATTGTGTGGGTGGTTTTGGGTACCCCTGGCGGTCTCGGGCCCCACTTTGTGCACCCCTGCCATGAACACAGTGCGCTTCAGTCTCCTCCTCCCTCTCAGCCCCGCCCTCCAGGAGTGAGAGAGACTCTGCAGACACACACACTCAAACACACACATCCACACACTGAGCTTTTCTCCTCCTCAGCCCTGCTGTGTCTTTACTAACGGGACAACTTTAAACCTCCGGGATATCTGCCGGTTTCCGCTTTTCCCTCGCCTCCATGTGAACATCTCGACCCGGAGAGAGGTGAGTGCTCACATTTAGTTTAAGGGGGGAACCGTTACTGGTTGAAACTAAACGAGGAGGAAGAAAAGGGGATTTTTTTCTCAGTAGAGGAGGAGGAAGCGGGGCAGGCATGAGGAGGAGGACAGGCATGCCCGACTCCTGCTCCTCTTTGAGCAGTTTTAGCTAGCTCACTTTAACGCCTTTCGAGGGTAACGAAAAGCGTCAATAACGTGCAATTACACCGGGGAAAACCGTCGCTTCCGCTACTTGTGAATTTAACTCCGGTGTGAGATTAGCAGAGTGGCTTCAACATCCTCCACGGGATGTTGCCATTACACCGCTGTAAGGTTTCACATGGCTTTTCATACTACCGCTACTGCATTTCTGCAGCAGATACTTTGGCCACTTGGACGTAGTTTGTAACTGCTGAGAGCTGCAGGGATTTACTTTTAAAAGTGCTGCTACTTTATGAGTATGAGCTACAGAAGCGAGGAGAGCTCAACAAGGATGCAAATGTTAAGGTTTTGTAAACTGATGTAGCAATGTCTAAACGTTTGAATGGAAAATGTGTGCACACCTTTAACTATTTACATATCTGACAGTGTTTTAGGTGATGTCCCTAAATAGGTTTGTTTACATGAATCACCTGATGAGTTAGGGACTGCTAACATTTATTCTCATTCTCGGGTTGTGTCTATTTAAATAATTTGATTAACTGCTTAAAAGATAGTGAACATTTGCTAGTTTTGACCAATCAACCGTCCCTAATTCAATTCAGAGTGATTTAAAACAAAAAAAGCTGCTAATTTTTGCACAGGAAATGTTAGAACAGTCATATATTTGAAATGTTTCATTGATAAAGCGATTATTATTACTATTTGCCAATTGGTCCAAAATCCATTGATATTTGTTATAGAATTATATTAAAATCTTTCCATTCAAGAAAACGGAAGCAGCAATTAGGGTGAAGTACTGAAACTAATAATACATTTGATTATCGATTCAGTCTAAGATATTGTAAGCATTGGGTTGAGAGGTCATGTGTGGTGACAATTTTGACAATTAATTTTAATTTTACGTTACAATATCTTTAATTGTCTCGCTTTTTCTGACCAAGAGTCCAAAACTCAAAGACATACAGTTTCCAATGAACAGGGAGAAAGGTTAACATATAGATGACTATTAGTTATCACAATAATGTATTTTTCCTCACCAATCACATTATCAGCACCATAATACAGATGAAGCACCGCTAAATATCTACAAGATCCTTTCGTACCATAATGAGATCAGAACCATTCACAAGATCTTTCTCTTGCTGTCACTGCCTCATGTTCACACAAAATACTGAATACATCATCCCGTTGTTAGTGTCACTCAGTTCCAGATGTACACTTTGTGGTGGTAGGTGGCATCCCTGTCTGATTGTGTTGGCCTTTTAAATGTTTGATGTGTGGAGACATCCCGAGCACTTTCTCCTGCTGTTCCTCCCAGGATCTGCACTGGCTGTCAGCTCCCGTTAGAAAGTGGCTGTTAGAGAGAGACACAGTGCAATCTGCCTACACAGTACACAGCAAACGTGCAGGTACCTGAAAACGACCTGCACGTCTGCATCACTGACACAGATTGAGACTGTAATGATTGTTTACATAAATGCTGTGTTGAATGCACATGGCTCGGGGGTGAACATACTGTTGAAAAAGTTTTAGCTTTGACATGTGATGTTCGCCAGTGCAAGGTGTCTTCAAAGCAGACACAAAAAGGAAAGACAGTGCAGTTCTATTTATAGAAGCTGCACTGCTTGACCAGTGCTCCCTTATGGCGATATGTATTGATGTTTTTACTTCGCATTGATGAGATTAGATAATTGATAATATAATTACAATACCAATCCAGTTCGATGGACTGTTGGTGGATTAAAAGACACTTTGTACATTTGGCTTGACTCTTAGCACCTTATTACAAAATCAACAAATATTGCTATGCCTTAAGCTGCCTTCACATGATGTGCAATTTGCATCAATTGTTTGGACCTAATGCACAGTCATAAACAACATATTAGCAACATTATGAATTCCCTTCTCCGCATTACAGCCAACAGTTCCTCTGGTATTTCAGACAATAAATCATCAGGCTGTATAGTGTAATGGCAAAATGAGATTCCTCTGAGTGAGCCGCCTCTGATCTCTGAGGAGCCCCACTGCTCTCCTTCAGTACTCCCTCTCCGCTGATGAGCTGCCTCCATAATATATTCTCTCTAGTTTTGTACCCTAACCGATGCTTAATTATTCCGACACGGTGATTTGGCTGTTGCTCATAAAATATTGAAAGAGAAGCGGCCCAGGAGGCACCCTAAGAGACACCGGCTTCACTTCATCCTTAAACACGACTCTGAGTGGAGCTGGGTGCCGTTTCTGACTCGCATCAAAGCAAGTCATCACAGACACACAACCACCACACACAAGTTTTTAAATTACATTTTTGAAGTCTCATGTTTGAATTGGAAATCTGTTTTTCTTGACCCCCTGCTGCTTAAGATGTCTTCTCTGAGCTGCGCCTGAAACCAGTGAGCTTGATTACTATCAAAAAGAGATTATACTAGATCAGGATTCTGATTACAGCTACCAACCAGGCACCAACTGCTAATCTGAGGTCTTAATACGGAGGCAGGCAAATCTCAGGGCAGCTATCAAGGCTACTTAAAGGCGTCCACGGGCCTGTCTCTTGACCTTTTTGTATTCAAGTTTTTTTTTTAAATACACACCTGTTGGTTGTCCCTCAGTGTATATGGGTTTGAATATTTGTGTTTGTCTTCAGAGTTGTTTGCAAATTGGTCAAATGCATTTGATTTAACACACATTTTTCAGTAAAACCATTAGAGAGCATTAGCATTTTTACTTTAAGTTGTGCGCCAGTGATATACAACAGAGCTTGTATCTGGATCTTCGAGTGTGAGACTAATTGAAACTAAATTAAAACCAGTGGGCATGTCAAAAATACAATTTCACTTCAGATTGTTTTATTTGGGGCTTTTTGTAAATGCTTAAATGATCAGTAGACATAATGGTGGATCCCCTGCTGCCTAATGCATGCTGGGATATCTGAGCCCCTCCTGTGACCACGCACTGAGAGGATAAAACCAAAAACAGAGAGAACAGCCTCATCATAATGATTCCCCATTCGAACACTGCTATGTCTCTGTGTTTATTTGTGGGGCTCTTATTTGCAAATGGTTAATATCAAGTTACCAGGTATATTCACATTTGGGGATTAAGGTTTTAAAAATAATCGAAGGATTACAAACTTTTGTTTGGCTCCAAAAGGTTTCTTCTATTTTCTAGGACGTCAGCCACACCAGTATTTTATACAACATATGTCTAATAAGGACAATGTAATGTTTTAAATTACAAGTTAGTTTAAGTTAATATCAGTGAACAAATTGACTTTTATGAAGTCCACCTTTGTTTTATGTTATGTGCATATTTGCCTTGTTGACCAATTGGGAACTCTGAAAACAACAGCTTGTTCAGACAAAAAAGACCTTTGCTGAACACCTGGTTTCCAGAGTATTGTGATATATGATATATATATATTGTCACATTTTCCTGACATTGTATTGAACAAATGATTAATCAATAATGAAAACCATCCTTAGTTGCCATTATAAAATCTCTAAACCCACTCAGACGATAAACGCCACTCATTACACTTGCCCTTTAACACCCACTCAATAACTCATTCCAACTCCTACAATCATGCCGAGTGAGTGAATGAATGAATGAATTATGCTATGCCCCTTCCTGGTGTAACCAGATACAGAGACTTTTAATATCCTTGAATATGTTTTTAACTTGTCTTAAGTTAGCCAAAACATTAGACTATTTTCTTAGTTCATTTTACATTTGTTCAGTAAACATTTTGGAACACCCTGTCTTCACTTGTGTATCTGTGTTTTTGCCCTGACCTACTTGAAGTACACTGTGTTATTGCAGTTAAAGTAACAGTAAAATACATACATTTATAGGCTTTCTTGCATATAGAGTGTTCTATTATGACTCAGTGTTTTTACATCCCTTTTGGTGACCCTCTGCTGTATTACATGTTTCACAGTTAAAGCCCAACATCTCATGCACACCCACCAATCAGAGTCAGCAGAGTGTTGTGAACAGGAAGTATGCTCATAGAGTTTGTGGTCTGCACTCAGTGTTCAGGAAGGCCTTTGACCGAGGGTGGCATTGTGAAGGTTTTGTCCTCACATTGTTGTGGAACGCACACAAGCAAGCCTCTCTGTGGTCCAGTAAGAATTCAGCACATGATTATCATATGTACATGACATTCTGGGATTTTCTTGTGTCTTATCTCAGTTAACTGAAGAATGTCTCCTTATTGCTTTCCAACTGTTCTTCATAAAGTCTATAACTTCCAAAAATATAACTCAGCCTTAAAGAATCATGCTTTTATTCTGCTATCCTGATGGGCAAAATGCCTTTTAGATTAGACGAACACAGCTGGGGAACTTCAAAGGCCAAATTCAGCCAACATTGAAAGTGCTGCTGCAATAGTGTGTGTGTGTGTGTGTGTGTGTGTGTGTGTGTGTGTGTGTGTGTGTGTGTGTGTGTGTGTGTGTGTGTGTGTGTGTGTGTGTGTGTGTGTGTGTGGTTGTTTCTTTTGAAGGCCTTTTTTATGAATTCTGCCTCTGCTGTTTGAGATGGGGCTTTTAATGTCTGGTTTGCTCTGTCTTCCTTCAATGTCTGCACCTTCCAACCAATGGTCTACAATTGACTGCGCAGTGTGCTGCTTGGTTGTGCCTGGTAGCGCCATGGCTGCATATAGCTTTGTGTGTGTGTATGTGTGTGTGCGCATACTCAATTGTAATTTTTTGCCCTTTTTTGACGATGGCTCGCTGTGCTTGAAAACCCTCAGTACACACTCAAACTGCTCACACACACATACCATGCTCTGTTAACCACTAATGTTTTTCCCATTAAGGTTTCAAAGTTTTATAAACCAATGAGAACTAA